CGCCCCTCGGCGTCGCCGATGGCGGCGATGGTGGAGTTGAGGGCGGCGGCGTCGCGCACGTCGACGCGTCGGTAGTGCAGCTTCGTGTGCAGGGTGCTGGTCGCGCGCGTTTGGAGCTCCCGGAAGGATGTGCTCGGCTCGGGGAGCCGGTCGAGAGCGTAGACGCTGGCGCCGGCTTCGAGGAGCGCCGACGCTTGCGTCAGGCCCAGGCCGCGCGCCGCACCGCTGATGACGATGATGTGCTTGCTGAGGTCGAATTCGGGGAGGCGGTGGGTGCGGGTTTGGCTGGATGGCGGGTTTGGGACTTCATCTGAGCGAGGGCCAGGAGCGGGTTGAGAAGGCTTGTCGGCTTTGTTGCTAGCTGAGAGGTTGCTGGCTTGAGAAGATTCCCTGGTGTTGTAGTGAGCGGTGACGGCCGCTGGCAAGGAGCGGGCGTTGTTAAATCCCAAAATGGAGTGAGCCACGGTTTGGGGAGCGCGCGAACGAAGAATCGTTTGAGATAGCTGTGGCAACGTGCGTAGAAGGGTAAACATTGTTTTGCGGCTTCGTGGGAGTGGGACGTATCGTTCTTTCTTTGCACAACGAAGAAGAACAAGGTACTATCTTCTCTCCATTGGACTGGCAGGGGATACTGAACTACTAGTAAGTAGTTCACACATGATGCCAAGCTGCCAAAAAAGAAGTGCTGCACTGCAAGCAATGGAGAAACGAGGACCGCGTACGACTACCTTGTATATATCGAGTAAGAACAGCGGATTGAAGCACTGGAGCCAATCCGAAAGTGTACACGAAGACTATGCCCTGTCGAGTGGCCGCAAAGAATGCTGCAGTGAGCACGCTGTGGGCCTCCTAGCCCAACGCTGGCGATAATCCCCATCCTGGAAGCTCCACTGAGTGACGTGGAACAAGGTACACAACATGATGCGGGGTGAAGGTGGAGGTGAAGGATGAGGAAGCTCCTCCATCAGGCAATCTTGCCCTATACGGCTTAGCTCAGTGGGATAGCTTGGCGCTGCGCTTCGGAAGAACTTTGCTGCGGGTTTCCCATTGGGGGTCACAGTATATTCAACAACATCATCGTACATAATCAATATGCAGACCCTGCGGTCAGAGAATCAATGTCCATTTGATATGAATACCGCTGACTACGCTTGGCCTGTTCCGGCCACTATTTGTACCAATCTGACCAATCCATCGTGACCGTCGCGCTTTTGATCCAGTAATCCTGTCCATTATCTTCGGCAGTGTAGTTCTGGAACTTGATCACACGCGTGTCATACCAAGATACATTGGCGCCGGCAGGCTTGCCGCTGTTGACCATGTCAGCAGAAATCATTGGAGTATATCTCGGACAATGGTTGGGGACCATGAGAAGACTTACCCGTAAGGCTTCTGTAGCGTCGCAAGGAGGCGGTGATGCCAACGGTATATCAGGCAATCATTGTCATCCATACCTCCGCCGCCGGGATAACTAGGATCGGTATTTGGCTTTCCCAAGACGGCCTCCGCCTGAGGAACGACCCAGAAATGTATATCGGCGAACTGCAGGCGCGAGCGAGCATAGTTTCCTGGCGGAGGGAACTGGACACCTTTCACCGGACTGGGGTAGTTGGGCGTATTGTCGGTGATTGAGAAATCGTCGAAGAAGTGATCTTCAGTGTAGGCTCGATAGCCTCCATTCGATTCGATGAGATCGTTCGGATCGTACCAGAACCGGTTGAAGACGCGGGTGTTACCCTGTTCCACTGAATGGTAGGGGCAATTTGGCTTGTGCATCGGGCCTCCAGGACCTCTCGGTGCAGCTTGGGTAAGGGTGCACAAGCAGAGAAGAGTGAAAAGCGTGGTGAACGATTGTCCTAACACAGAATACATTTTGGCAGGAATGACGCTGTGTATAGGAAGAGATAATGGGGAAAACCCAGCAAGCCGGTAGGGTAGTATCGACGGTATGAAATTGAGAAGGAACGTCCTCATCTGGAAGTTATAAATCGCCATGGCTGCGATTTCCTGAAGCTCCAATGCGAGCTACGTAACTGTTCAGCCAATCGCGAGGATGACTGCTGAAGCTAGATATACTGTCCGTGTTCATGTACCTTTCCTTAAGCCCAGCTTAGCTTAGCTTTTCGTATGACACCGGCAGAGAACTGAGACAGCGTTTGGAACAGCCAGTCTTTGCCTATTCTGCCAAAGGTGGTAATTGGTACAATAATCGTACAGGGCTGCCGCTGTTAAGTGTAAGAGAATAAAGTCTTTCCTAGTACAGCCAGTGAAAATGTCAAAGCTTTTCTCCACCATACTTCCAGATCCGGAAAGCTAAAAGTACTAAAGCGCCGTCAAAACCGATGTATCAAGTTATGTGGAGTCGTGTACGTATGTGGAGTCGTGTACGTATGTGGAGTCGTGTACGTATGTGGAGGTACGTATGTGGAATCGAAGGAGAGCCATTCGCAACAGTAAGGCTATGAACCTCAACACATGACCCTGCTCCATGACCGGGTGTACCATGATGTTAACGGTCGAGGCAGGGGGGATCGGACTTCCTAATCCAGCTACGAGTCAATATTACTTATAGCGCTTGCATCCGAGACATTCTCGTACACGGAATCACCCCTTTCATGTCATGCAAGTCACCACTATTACTAGACACTGCGTTCACAGATGAAGTCAGCAGGCAAAAAACCAAAACAATCCAGGGCTGCTGACATGTCTAAGGGTGTGCAAAACAAGACCGGCTTACCCGAGTTAGTCTAATCTCCATGAAATCGCTCGTTCCTCGTCTCCACAGCAGTATACAATCAGGGCAACAACGTATACCAGGTGCACTTTATCTCATTTTCCCAAAGGCTGCACCAGCTGCTTCGGCATTGTTGTGGTTGAGTTGCGAGATATCACTGATCGAATAACACACAATCGCTGTAAAGATGTCAATTTTTCACAGACGTAAAAGCTCTCCATGGGGTTCCAACTCCACTTCTGCATGCAGCTTGGCGTCAAGAATCGCGCTGGTCTAACTGCGGCGCTGACCCGCTCACCAGTTGACACCTCCCATATCTTTACTTTACTCGATACTCCGTAATAACGCCGCATTTGAATTTTCCTAATAAGGAGGCTCTGAAGCTGATATGGAGAGCTTCAACATCCATCCAATATATCCTACTACCTCAAAGAGTTCCAGAAACGCACCGTCCTTGATTTCATGAGGCAATAATTTGAAAGGCGGCAATGGCAACAAAAACGATTCAAGAATTCACTGCCGCGTATAGACTTAATTATGAAGATTTACTTTACTTTCTGCGCCATATCTTTGGGAAGGGTGAGTTTCAAGTTAAGTATAGTAATGATGGGTAGTGCATGACACTTCCGCGGCGTCTCTCCGACCACGAATCGCTTCAGATCGATGCTCTAAGATGGGGGAGGTATGAAAATGATCTTTCACACGGAACGGAACCAGTCCGACTCTGAAATAGAAGGTAAAAAGCCTGTAAAAGAAAAGGCTCATGGGAAATCTGCCCAACGCGAGTTGTCAGTCCCTTTAATCGAGGACTCGAACCAAAATTCTTTTGAGGTACCGTCAAAGAACGGTGACAGTGACGCCAAACTAATTTATAGCGTATCCAATGCTCATGTCAACAGTAGAGGTGTCTCCGGCTCCCTCTATAAGATCAACATCTCCCGTGGCATGACATGCAATGTGTACGAGGTGGACGCTCGCTGGGCATGGGTCTCTACAGAAGCAGTGCGTGCTGAAGGGTCACACGGAGTCAAATTGGCAGTCAAGAGACTGTCACGAAAGATAACACCAAAACAATTTCTCCAGGAATACGATACTCTAAGAGCTGTAACGGAGGCTCGCCATCGAAATATTGTTGAGTTCCTGAATGCCTTCAGATATGCAGACAGGAAGAACACCGTCTACTATAATTTTTCATTCCCTCTTGCCGCAGGCAATCTGAAGCAGCTGTTTCGCTCCACTTCAGCGCACATGATACAAGGAACTGACCATTTTGAGACCGAGCCGGTTCTCCACCGCTTCCCAGAAGGTTTCTACTCGACAGCTTTGAAGAGCTTTTGGTCAGAATTCGAAGGCCTTGCAAGCGCTTTGGCTTATCTTCACGATGTTATGCAAAATCGTCCACTCAGATATCCAGCCATCGAACATACTCCTCTATGAGGGGAGTGGAGTCCCACCCATCATTGTCAAGCTTACAGACTTTGGCCTCGCGGTCGCTCTTCAAACCAAACTGTCCTGGCGTCTTGGAACACAAGAAGCTCAGTCTGCGTGGCAATACGATGCACCGGAGATTCGTGAAGATCAAAGTTCGTTCTGGAAGACATATGCTTCTCGTAAAACTCTCCAACCGACTTCTGAAGAGCTTAAGAGTGGCGATGTCTGGAAGTTGGGCTCCGTTTTCATAGAACTACTGAGTTTTCTAGTCAAAGGCGACACAGGTGTTCTGCAATTTCGCAAGTTCATCACCACCACCCATAATGAGCTAACCTCTGATGACATCAGCGACACACGTTTTGATGATGGCAAGAAGGCGAAAGACGAGGTGTTGGAGTGGCTGTCCTACCTAGCGACGATAGACGTTCGGGTACAGGAAATGGAGGCTTCATTGCGATCAATGGTTGATATAGGTTCTAAAAGGCCATCCTCTGCCGTTATTTCTCAGAGCCTAAAGAACTCTAGCCTTTGCCTCTATTTTGATGGCACGAGGCATCTTCGAATCACACCATCTCGATTCGTTCGTTCTCCAAGCGCTATTGACCAGTGCTAGGAGGTGGTCGAGAAATGGATCGGCCACTGTTTGGAATGGTGGCCATTCAAAGATGGGGACAGGTCGTGTCCTCAAGGCTATTCAAGAAATCTCATGGGAGTGGTCTAGTGAAAGTCTATACATTGATGTGCCAGACCCTGTGGCTCAAGCCTACAAAGAGACCAGTCAGCCTATCTCTCATATTCGGCAGCCAGTCTCATGTCCTCCTGCTCCCAGCTATCCACCTCCCACCCACAATTCAAAACAGATAGCCGATTCACAGTTTGGAATGATTCTGAGGCCTCTCAGGAATAATCAGACGCTGCATCAACTCCGTTCAAGCTCTCCCAACCGAGGCAGGCTTGGAAATATATCTGCTGGCTCTTCAGCTTCCACAGGCGCCCTCCAATCACAAAACATATCCAGGGAAATATATTGGTGTGTAGACAAAGCGTGGTCAGAGCCTCGAATCACGAAGCTTTGCTCTGTGCAGGAGCTCCACCAGATACTCGACGACAAATCGTTGTGCGAACAGTTGATGAAAGAGTACAACCGAGTTCGCACATGGAAGGGAAGGCTTCTCTCGTGGAAAAGCTGTCTTGGTGTTGAGTTCATCAAATTCTCCAGGCCTTACCCTGGCCAGGATGACGTCGTCAAGATACAAATAGGCTTGCCTCCCTCTGATCCCTTGGCGTACGAATATACTCTTTGGAAACCAGAGGAGGTCCACATGAAGATTGCGGCGACGCAGCTCATTGCGAGTATTTATCATCCTGAAAAGGCAAGCGGTATCAGCACCACGCTGAAAATGATTCCCAAAAGGATCACGGCCCAATCCGGCTCGAGCGCAAGCTCGGAAGACTGGGGCATGCATGCACTCCAGCGATTTTCCCTCTGGAAGATCATGACCTGGATCGCATTATTGACCATCCTCGGCCTTGTCTTTGTCGTGTTCTGGTTAGTATATATCGATAAGACCGATTTGCAACACGCATTTATGCCCTATACATTCCTGGCAACTATGGTGTTGATTGGCCTTGGCGTTCCGCAATTTTTGGAGGTCGACTGAGGAGAAATTCATATTAGCTGACATATACTCCGTACTAGCAACAAACTTGGTATCATCGTGTAGTTGAGCCCATGTACGTAGTTCAATTAGGGTCCTAGTTTAGTTTTCTACTGGCCGGTCTTCGTCTAGGAAAGCTTGAGACTTATTGCGCTTGGAATGTTCAGATATCTCTTGCGAATTTATATCGTCAGTGTGTTCCGCCCGATAATGGGGGACCCTGAAGCCTTGCGAGCCAGAGCTTCTTCCCCTCGTCAGCATTTTGGGAGCTTGATGTTGACACTCGCGAGCCAAGTTCGATAGCGCTGGCTCTGCAAATAGTGGTGGTTACCTAACTCCCAAAGACACCTCGCTATCAACTCGTTGTTCATGTGCGTTGGGGTTTCGAGTAAGGCATTTGATGTGATGAGCATTTGTCAACACTTTGCAGTTCATAGTGCTCTACAAAAGACGCTGCCTCAGCCTTCTCCAACAATGTTGTATATGGTGCGAAGCGTTGACAACTTACTGCAGAGTAGTCTGAGATTTAAGATATCTTGAGGACATAAGTTTTTCAGCAACTTGTGTGAAAGATTCGAGGGAGATGTCAGGATAGGGAATTGCTATGACGCCGCCCCGTGCGCGCGAAAACCTGGAGAGAGGAAATCGCAGTTTTTTCGCCGAATTCAAGCTCGCAGAAAGGGATTGATAGGCGACCCAATGTGGGCGATTTGTTTCTGCTTTGTTTTCTGAGGATTAATCGCTATGAAGACAGCTTTTCACACCATTTCGCACGCCAGAGAGCACGATCATCGTTACTTTTCAGCAGTTGACCCATGTTGGCATTGGTACATCGCAGTGTAATCTCGGGACAAGATTCTGGTAGGGATAATCGGAAACAACAGATCATGCGTGTCTAAAGTTGGGTCAGTCGGAGTTCTTCTTCGGGCTCTCGATGCGCGAGATCAAAACCTGCCTGGAAGGTGCCCAAGACAAGCCCAAAAAGTTTACTGATACCTAAAACAGGCATTTCAAGTAGCTCCCGTGATCAATCATAACAAGATCTAGACTCATGACAATCAAATACCAAAGGCCCTGATCTCAAGCCCTCGCTCTCAGCTGGATCATTGGTCCATTCCGATACGCCGCGATGTAATCAATCATCTGGTACTCTTCTACCCTGCGTCTCCCCTCCTCCAGATCTAAACTTCCACCACCTGTCGGTTCGCCCGCCGGCCGGATATCGTACTGGTAGAGCAGGGTGGCCAGCGCGGCCTTCAATGCCAGGTACGCCATATTCTTGCCAACACAACTCATCGGCCCAGCGCCGAAAGGACAGAAGGCGCGGCGGGCCGCGCCAACGCTGTCAAGCGTGACGCCAGTCTTTCCATCGACTATCCAGCGCTCAGGGCGGAAGTCCCACGACGAGGGATAGTATAACTCGTTGTGGTGGATGGCATATGCAGGGACGCCCACAGTTGTGCCCTTGGGGATATGGCGGCCGTCGATGTCGATGCCACCGGCAAGGACCTCGCGGGCATCATGCTTGGTAGGGCTGGGGAGATGCGTAGAGTCTCGTCAATGGAACTCTGGAGGTAGGTTAAAGAACTGAGTTTGGGATTGCGGATTTCGGAAACATCCTGAAACGCGGAACGAATCTCTTCGGTGAGCTTTGCGAGCACCTCTGGGTTGCGCAAGAGGTAAAAAATAGCGGCAGAGATCGTGTGCGCAACGCCGTCACTCCCGGCAGCGATCAAGAGGCCACTGTCAGCCTGCAGCTCTTCTCTACTGAAGCCCTTGCCGGTCACGGGGTCCCTACTCTTGAGCAGGTAATGGAAAACGTATTTGCGAGGTTCTTTGCCAGAGCTCTGGGCTTGTTCTTCAGCGTCGACACGTTCGACCAAGCTACTGTTTGCAAGCCGTGTGAAGCGGAGAGAATCCGCTGCTGCTTGGCCGCCAATATAATGCATGACCGGAGTTCCGAGGACTGGCCGTATCAGCGCAGCAAAGGGAAGATAGCCGGCCTGCGTATTAGTGACAGTTCGTCAGCGCTCTATTGCTCCTAGAAGATCATGAAGGACTCCATACATAGTATAAGAATTGACTTGTCCCTCTTAGAACATTCGGAACATAACGATTCTTCTCGGTTTCACACAGCTCCCAGGACTTGCCAAAGGACAGGTTACTGATGAAGTCGAAGCCAAACCAAGTTGACCAATCACTCATGTTCTTTCTCTCGGTCCAGTCGCCGGGTTTTGCGTCCCGGGGCAGAGTTCCGAGACCGTCACAAAACGAGCTTACATTGTCCGCAATGACGTTCTCAGCATCTATGAGGGCACGTTCGGAGAACGCATGATTCAGAACCCGTCGTCTGAAAGCGTGCTCGCCCTTGTCAATGACGCTTTGGGTACTATAAGCTCCCGAGGATATGTCAAGTGTTTTGTACCAATCGCCCCTCTTGACATTGGCATATCTATCACGATGGATTGCTTGAAGGGCTGGCGCCGTATTGAAAGACAGACTGTTGGGACCAGTTCGGATAATCGGACCTGTGGACAATAAGCAAGATTCCATGATCTTCAGCTCGGGGTCTCCAGCGCAAGTCAGTCAGCCCTCACCGTGTTTCTCGTGATCACGCAAGAGGTGAATGTGCCGGTGTCCCATGTAGCACTGGAAGACAAGAGGCCATTGTGAGATTCTCGCAAGGAGGGGTCCTGGATATCTGGCCAAAGGGTGAAATGTAATACGATAGATAGCAGTGAGCACAACCTTCTATAGCGTTAACAGAAATCCGCTGATTGGCAATGCTCATGGCTACTCACATAAAGAAAGGTTGCGATAACGATATATGCTATGTTCTCGTGGTACTGTAGAGATGGCACTGTAGTGCATAACTTATGAAAAGCTTCCATGAAACCTGTAATAAAAGTTGAAGAGACACAATCGAAGCCAACTAGAGAAAAATAGATGATACAGCTCGACAGGTAAGCTGCCTGCCCCACTAGCTGTTAGGGATGCCAAGAGGTGCAGATATATGAGATGCCAGTTATGGACCTTATAAGGTAAGGGAATTCTGTGGCGAATTCCCTTGGTAATCTAGTCTTTTAACGCATGCTTCGCGCATGCGGGGAACGTACGGTCCATCGTCCTGACACTAGCACAGCGACAACTCTCTTGCCGAAAGCCTGCGCAATACAGTTGGGTGCCAAAGGTCTGACACTAAATCCACTTTTAGCGCAGAATCCACCTTTTTAAAGTAAACACTACAACTTTTATAGTTAGACTATAAACTATCAAACCTTATTTAATATTCCAACTTAGTAAACTAAACCTTTCACTTCTTTGGAAAAAAATTTAGAAAAAATCCAGCTTTAATGTAAAGCAAAGGTTTTTCCCCAAAAAATTGATTGTTTTTTAGTTTAATTTTACTGCCGAGCACACCTCTATGTATAAATTTGAATAGAAAAGATTCTATATGAAAGATAAAAATATAATTAAACAGGTTTGGTTTCAGACTGTTGGCCTCGTACTGTATAGAAAGTTGATGATTTGATCGTGGTCTAGGTGGAAATCCTTGTCGAAATCTCATTCAATCATCCTCTCAACCATTCACAACAAAATATCTATGTAGAATATTCTTTGCTGTTACCTCGCCGGCCCTTATACGAAGGAAACAGCAGTTGCGTAAATTGAAGGAGATTTGTGACCAAAAAGGCCCTCAAAGGCCGCATGAATGGCCTTGTCGACGTTGTCAGCCTCAGCGACAGCGAGCTTGTGGAGGCAAAAAGGGTGGATTGAGGCGGCTCATGATGTATTTCCGTCAAGTCATTGCTAGACAAACTGTTTGTTACCCAAAGTGCGTCCAATTGCAGCAGCCGACGAGGTGCTCTGCTTTGCATGTATATACAAACCTGCCGTTTATCTACGATGCAAAAGCCCAATCTTGTCATTTAGCTACTAGGCAGACAAACCACAACAGAGGAAATTAGTCAATCAGGCTCCACACCTACAAATTCTCCTTCATGACTGGTACCGAAAACCGCTTGTGACCGCTAATGACCCAATCAAGTAAGGCAATGATGATGACAGCAATCATAACCGGCCCAGCATAGTTCATGTTCAACGCAGTGACTGGCAGTACAGGCGGGAATGGCAGCCAGATGACGATGAAGATCCCGTACAAGAGGGCGAAAATATTGATAGGGATTCCCCAGCGACCGAGCCTAAATGGACCGTAAGCGGGATGCCTGCCCTCAAGCTTCCGTAAGAGGATCAGCGAGATCGGGACGAGGTAAGAGATATACAGAGCGAGCGTTGTCAGAGACAGAATAGCGGTGAAAGCTGTCGTTGAACCGATGCTGATTAGGTGTAGAAGGCAGGACAGTATGGTGACTAAGGTGAGTGATCTCAGTGGGATCTTCAGTCCAGGATGCACCTGTCACATGTCCAATGAGCGTCTTTACCTGGGAGAGCTGGTCCAGAGCAGTTGACTTACATAAGCGAAGAAGTCCGCAAAAGGAAGGCCATGATCTTTTGCGAACGCCCAGGTCAAGCGGGACACTGAGGCCAGGATGCTGAAACATGAAACAAGAACCACGATGATTATCATTAACATCATAACATTTGTCCCAGCTTTCGACTTGGTCGCCTGATAGTAGACTTCGATAATGGGGTATCCCGTAGGCGAGGCTAAAACGGTTTCCAGGTCTCCGAGAGTGAAGAGGAGGCAGATGATGAATGCAAAGGCGAAGACAGCGTTTATGACAACGGTCAGGATCATGCTGAGCGGGATTCGTCTGGGCGCATCTTTCGCCTCGTCGCCTGGTCGCCCGTCAGCATTCACATATCCACCGACTGCGCGCAAAAGCTGTTCGGATAGTGAAACAGACTCATGTGAAGGACTCCATCGAATCCTATATTTGTGTCATGAGCAAAATCCGTTTGATTGAAACCGTTGAACTCACCAACAAGAGGAAAAGTCGTAGATAGCAGACCAATACACCAAGCCACACCGGGATTCGTCCAGCCACTGATTTCATTGACATGGGTGGTAAAGACGAACTCCGCAGTGCTGCGCGTAGCCAGCACAACCAGTATCACTACTGTACAAATGAAGAACAGTAAATGGCAAACACCGCCAATAATTTCCAGTGGTGCAAGCAATCTTCTGCCATGAACATTACAGATGACCGGGACCACAATGAATGCCCACGAAAGCAACGTGCCGTGCCAACGCTCATATATATAAGTGTCGGGGTAATTGAAGATGATAAGACCCTGGACCATCGTACCTAGGAGGAAAGGAGTCAGCGCGCAAGACGCAATCCACGCGAAAACCTATACAAGTCATTTAGAGACTCTCTCATTGCCAGGAATATTTTCCTACTGTCAACCATCCTAGAAGGCGTCAGTTCTGGCATTTCAGTCCGAGTAGCACGGTTCATACCTTGGAGCAAGCTCCAAAATGCTGGAGACATTACTCTCGGAGCGTAGAGGGCCGTCCATCGGTATTGCGCTCCAACAGTAGGATCTCTGCGGCGGTGTCAACCACGGCGGTCCCCGATGTGCCTATTGGGACCTACATGGACGCCATCTCTCCCAATGATGCAGCAAGTGCGGCCGAACCCACAGCGGAAAGAATCATTCCGTAGACCAAAGATACTGGCCCTCCATTTAACAGTGCGGCCTGAAATGTGATAGCAATTGCTTCCCAAGACGCCTGCAGGGTCAAGCCAAAGGAAACCATGGGCTTCAGGCCGAGATATCTCTGTTGAAAGTCAGGTCCCTTTTCGATCAGTACAAAGTGAGAAGCAGGTCGTACCTCCAGGACGTTACGCCCGCTATCGTAAATCTGGTCATTTGTGTTGTCTGAAATAGCCTCATGGACGCTGGGCTTGGAAACCTTTGTCCTCGAACCCATCTCCATGGGCTTGTCGTCCGCCATGATGGAGAAGAGAGACGGCGAGGTAACCGCAACAGACACCAAGTAGCAAGCATGTTATTGCTGAGAGGAGGTTGGAGAGCAGCGGGGTATTAATGGAGCTCGCCGTAAATGTGGTAGGATTCTTTTTTTGGGCCATTCTGGCTGTAATCGAACTGCTGGTTTAGTACCAGGTCGGCTTTCGTACGCAAGTGCCAAGTCAATGAGGCCCAATCAAATGTCAGACTTTGTGGCAGAACATTGACCCTGCCAATCTAGGCTCAGATTGCCGTGTCAAGAGACTTCTCGGCGGAACCCAGCACTACTACGTACTCGAGTATCCGGATACAAAGAAGATTCACACGGCAATACGGAACACAAGCCGCCGGGGAGATCTTACCGTGACTCCTTCTGACTTACTACGGTAGGAGACATAATGTTTGTCACCTCCGCACTAACTTAGTATCTTTGGACCAAAACAGTTATCAAACAAGCGAGGCTAAGTAGCACTAATCCAAAGATGGATTAATCAGAGCTGGTGGACTTGTTTGTATGGCTGCTTGATCTTGTAAGCTTTTCGACGACTAATTAGCTATCTGTGGACTCGTATCAGAACTAGTCGCTATTAGCACTGTATTGACAAACATTATGCCTCCTACCGTAGTACGTGTGGCGCGGAATGCCGGGCACAAAGCCGTAGTGTATTTATTGGTCGAGAGCTAAAGCCAGCCATCAACGGTATTGATCGCGCTTCAACAAAGAACCTCTATAGTGTGACAAGAAAACAATCACAGCTTTTGAAGCGCAGGAATCTCAATGTATAAGCCGTTGTAGTATTTTCTTCTGGATTCATGAAATCATTGTGCTTCCTAAGGTGAACGTCTAACTATGGATTAATAACGCCACTTGGCAAGCCAAAGCTACCTAGTCGAGGAGGATAGCAAGGAGGAGGATCGCGAGGAGGAGGATAGCAAGGGGGAGGATAGCAAGGGGGAGGATAGCAAGGAGAAGGATAACAAGGAGAAGGATCTCAAGAAGGAGGATATCCATATCCTCCATATCCTCTACTATATCCTCCTTCTTAAGATCCTTCTCCTTGTTATCCTTCTCCTTGCTATCCTCCCCCTTGCTATCCTCCTCCTCTTTATTATCTTCCTCCTTAATATCCTCTGTAAAGGCTAACAGAGTATCTCTATTTAAGTCACAAAGGCGTTATTGTTGAATGGCATGAGTATGAGTTATGATTGTGGTATGAGTAGTAGATGATGAAGCTAAGTTCTAAGTACAGGTTGGGATAAGATAAATAGCCAGTAGTGTGCCAAGCTAGCCAAGTGCTCCTTCTGTGCCCCTCCTATGCTCCTGCAATGTAACAGTTATAAAGTTCTCTCTACGTTCGAACGCTTCTTATAATTCAACACCACGATTTTCTATCTCAAAATTACAACAGCAAACTCACAAGAGAGTCTATTTACTATCCGGGTCATTTTAGGCATTCTACTATGATAATTCAGTAGTAAATGGCTATTCTATATCCTCACAGTAATTCTGCTCTGCGGCGCCAGCAACTCGAGGGTCACGCTAAGGATTTGCAAGAGTTCCGCAACGCACAATAATAAAACACGACGAAATTAAAGAGATAGTGAGAACCGAGCTCGAGAGCCAAAATATAAGTCCCATGGAGATTAAAAATGGGTCCCATCAATCCCTCAACCACCTGCAGGCTCAATCTCGATTCGCGTTAAAGCAGCGCTCACTCAGGATAGAGGCCGTAAGTGGAATTGGAAGAAAAATATCTTACTGCCTACTATCTGGGCACTATCTGCCGTTCACCGAAGTCGATCATATGCGGCCCCTGGCCCAAGGATTTTTTCGGGGGCCTAGAGTGAGGAAAGTAATCTCAATTCCCTCTCGATCGAGCAACGGTGTCGAGCTTGGTCCTCGGATCTGCAGATACTTACCTGTTGAGAAAAGTCTAGAGAAGCAAGGAACTTCTAAGTCAACCAGGAGACGAACGAGATGGTGATAGGAGGAAGCGATGTCCAGATTAAGGATGTCGAACCCGATTTCCAGTGGACACTGTATGGCCATGGGAGCGCTCACTCAATATTGAGCCTCACATTAAATGAGACTGATACATCGTGAATGCGCTGTCATCCATATAAACGAAATCAATTGTGTTCGGGGCGGGGGAGTTCATGTGTTTTGCCTGCCTGAAATGTACTTTCTATTCTAGTTACACCCAAGGCCCAGTTTGCTCACAGGTCGATGCAAAGGATTAATACAAGAGTGGTCGCTCAAGAGAAAAAAAAATTGGTTATTATTGAGTCTATATGCGAATGAGGGAGCAGACCAACAGGATGATGTTGCCTATCGTATGCGAAGATTGAACGCCTAGGCAATATGCAATGACTTCGCGAGAACCTCCGTACCACCACCTGTGTGAATTATGTCCAGCTCGTGTATGCCTGAAAATGCGCAAGCCAAGAGAACCGTAAAAATACAAAATGATACACATCAGCAGTTATGCTTGTGGTTGCTGTAGGCCTTGGGAGCTCTGAAGGGTATTCGGCTGAAAGAGTGTGATAAAGAGGGCAATAAAGATTGGGGTGTTCCGTATTCTCGGTATTCTTTATGTTTTGTTGTCGCTGGTGGCTACCGGCTCATCTTCCGTCAGATCTTCTGTTGGGCCATCCTTCTGCTTATCGTGGGTGGGATCCCTGGAGACCTTAGTGAAGTCGCAGCTCCAACTTACACTGCCTAGTACCATTTTTTCGAATCCTTGACTCTACCGCTACCGCTAGTAGTTTTGTAGCTCCTGCGGTCGACGTATCTATCGTCTTGCTTCTCCTTTGTATGGCCACTCCTGTAATCGGCTTGATATGTTCTGATTCGAATGTCTTGTTGTTCGCCTTGACAATGAATTAGCAAGATTCTCGAGTCGCTCATTTGACGGAGGCTTACTAGACTTCTTGTGGCCGAAGGCAACCGGAAGAGCTTCTGGATTGCGCTTCAACAAGTTTGCTTGTGAGATGAACCGCCTCCCCAAGCAGACGTCAAAGGGTGACTCATCCGGAAAGACGATGAACTCTATATGCCAGGTTTTGGCGGTTTGGAAGTTGACGAAGTGGAACGGTAGAACGACTTGTCCAAGCGGAGAGAACTCGGTTCCGTCAGCCACAATGCAGGGGTCGCCAGTGTATTCTTCGATCGGGTATCCAAGCATCAGCGCTACAGAATGGCTAACAGCATTGCGAGTCATGCCTGTATCGAGTCGAGCGCGGCCAGGCATTTTCTCTCCACTGCCTTTCTCAAGCTGGATGTCCTCTACGAATTCCCCAAAACTCGCTTCACGATACATTGAGCTGAATCGAGGGTATGATTCTCTTCTCTCCCTGTGGGATGTTGAATTGGCCTCTGGAGCTGTCTCTTGAAGCTCCGCCGCCGACGCCTGGTCTGCATTTTCATCGGTGGAAGTACCAAATGGATTTCGTTCAGCCTGTGTGATAGGATGTGGATTGTGTACAGATTTGGCATCGTCGTCAACCTGCATGTACTGTAAGCGCGAAATCATGAAAGCATAGCATGCCATTCTTACTTCGATTATCTCCACATTGTCCCCATGTCCTGCCTTTGCGCGTCTTATGATGTTCTGGAAACCGCTCAGGAACACCCTTACTCCTTCCAACATATCTTCATCACTAGGACCTGGTGGTTTGATGTGTTCTGCGCCGACGGTGCCTGCAGCCAGGCCGAGATTTGCAATGACATCCTTGACGCCATCTGAAGATTTTGAGTGCCTGCTCGATGCTGAGGATGACCGACTCCGAGCCTCTTGGACAAATGTGTCAAGAAATTGCGATGAGCGAGATCGAAGACTTCGCTTCTCTTGGGGCTCAATTGGAGTAGGCGGGGTGCCCGTGATAGTGGGAGCTTGTCTGGGAACCATGGTAACTTTCGTTGTGGGGGTTAAAAGCGACAGAGTCTGAATTGTTGCAGTAGGGGATGGAGAGGTTCATATAAACCACTGCGCTGAGATAGAGCGGCCCCCATAATGTCACCAACCCCCAATATGAGTGGCCTGAGGATCTGGATTCCGATCCCAATGGGGCGCGAGGAAGGGTGTTCCGGGCTAGTGGGTGGGGGCTGCTGCAATGCGCCTCGGCGATTCAAAAGTCAGCACCTTGTGGCTGAGCGACACAGCCTTAGACCGCTTCACCATCTAAAAACCAGAACACCCTTTCCTTCGCGAAGCGCTTATATTCAGGCACCTTTTCATTCCTAATTCGCCTTTGCGGCACTCGTTTCTTCTAACATGGCGACGTCCTTCGATGAGAAACATGGAGCGGAAATCAAGGGCACGACCGTGACGGGCAGTGAGCCACCCACACCGGTACCGGGGATCAATCGAACATGGTCGACGTCCTTCGATGAGAAACATGGGGCGGAAATCGAGGGCAAGCCCGTGATGGGCAGTGAGCCACCCCCACCGGTACCAGGGATCAATCGAACGTGGTCGACCGGCAGCTATCCGCGACTTTCAGAGTTCATGGGTCTGTGGCCTGAAGTAGCGATCTTTCGTCGCTTTGGTGCTCTCAACGCGCAGAACCTATTATTTCTGCAGGCAGAGATAGCACACCTCGAACGAGAGCTACAAGTCATAAGAGAAAGAGAAGAGCAGGGGGAAGACGAAAGAGGGCTACTGGCTCAACGCTCATGGTTCGAATTGAGTCAGCCAACAGTAGATGGCGAATATTCCCCTCAGTGGGCCGTCATTCAGGATATTCGATCCAAGTTGTCCGAATATAGTAAGACGGCGGAATGTCATTCTCGTGTGTCAACCACTGATCTTGCACTACAGATGCATTTCTATTACAGTACAAAGAAATCTGTGCTCTTCATGGACCCTCAAAGCACGATGTGAATTGCCTACGGGAATGGCTCATTCGGCCCGAATGCGGAGATAACTTCCTGGAGGGAGTGGTGAGTAGACCTGCTTGCTGTGGTGTCCATCTAACCATCACAGGAACGTGACATACTGCATCCCCGAGACGAACGCTACTTAGAAAATCAGCGAGCGTCAGATCTTGTGACCTTATCACGAGAAGCGGTTGAACGAGACTTCTTTTCGCAGTGGATATCTGATGAAGTGCTTGGCAAGTTCCATCGGTGGATCGGTCGCCATTACAAGGTGAGTTGGTAGATTCCATCATCTCACATGACCGATCTTATTCTCGTCTGCGTCTAGAAACCCTTTGATCCCGAAAGCGGTCTCTATCACTACCGCAAAGGCAACGTGCGCGCGGTCTCTCATCTTGTGGGCATCCTACTCGCTTCACTAATTCCAGCTGCCTCGATCTTTACACTTTACTTTGTCCCGCATATGACCGATCGACTGGGCGTAATTGTTGCGTATACGGCATTGTTTTCGATATGCCTTGGGGTATTCACGACTGCTAGGAGAGTGGAGATCTTTGCCGCCACAGCTGCGTATGTCTCATTCCTCTCGATTTTGGCTTTCTCTGGAGTTTTTGGGTATTTTTAATCGCATCTCTGCATGTCGCCTATTATCTATCTCATGTAACTTTTGCATCGCAATGTGATCTCGGTGAACTGGTCAAAATCCTCTTCTTTTGCTATTGCAGTGGCCAGAAAGCTGATTCAGCCTTGTTGTGAACAGATTTGCCTCGGTCCAGGTTGTTTTTGTTGGAAGTACTACTATCAGTAATTGATGTGCAGCCATGGATTGTGGCAGTGAATGGGTCGCACTGGTCTTGGGCACTGGCCTTGGGCACCACCGCAACCACGATAAGCGCACGTCAAGGATTATGTATGGCCGTGTGTCTCATTGTGGTCGTCAGCGGACCTCGATAGCCGCGGCTGGACCTCGATGGTCGAAGGTGCTCAACACCAGGCTTTTGTTGGTTTAAGTTGTTTCTGGAGGCCTGCTGAGTCAGATAGGAAGGGCATTAGCAGAGATGCTATATATGATTATTATGGTGACGATTTAATGATAATCTCGACTTGGAACTCGTTATGGCTTGAATGCTGACGAAGGACGCGGGCAACGATACTTTGATGACACAAAACTCGGATTAGAACAATACATGGCGGAGTTGTATGCTCATCTTTGATCCGTGGTATGATATACCATTCAGCCTCGAAACAGGCCATCTTTTCATGTTGTTATTCATCCTTGTGGGCCTCACAAGCAATAATTCCACGACAGTATAGTAATAATCTGCCTAGAATAGTTGAACTACGTTACACAGCCCCCAACCGCTGCCAGCCAAGCCTGACGCACGGCGGCTGAAACCAGGCTCCATTGCCCCTTTAATGAGGCCGACGAAGCAAATTCATTCTTACACAAATAGGATGGCGCCAGCAGCACGTGTTTGGCGATCGCCGGCGGCATGAAACACCGCTAAGCCCCCCGTATCGTATCGCGCTCCAAGACCAGATTCCTGACCAACAGCTCGACTAGCCTGTTCCCCTAACTTAGTAAGCTAAGGATGATATTGATATGTCTGGCGATAGCTCTATGCGCTCATCCTTATTGATGCTTCTTAATCTCCCTGCGGTCCACTTTCCCAGGTTTGTAGGAGAGTGAATTTCTCGTTTGAACAATAAGAAACCCGTGCCTTGAATTCAAGCACAGCGTTGAGTACAGTACCCTTTGTTGATTGCCTGTCAACTCCACTGATTCGCAGGTCGACAGCCAAAATGCGATTGTTATCATGGACCGCTCTTTATCTGTTCTCTTTTGTCCTATGCGCCATGTGTATGATGGGTACGCTGGGAGGAGTCGACCGTCCTTCTACTTTCAAAGCGCTTGAGAGAAGAAAGGAAGACCCCAAAAGCGCTCCCAGTGCAACCATAGGCAAGCCGCTTCCTGCAAAGACCGCAGATGAGACCGAAGATGAGACCCCCAAGAAAAGCGCAACGCCTACTGTAAAGCCAAGTGATTCAAGGAAGACTACCCAAGAACCCAAGAAGACCTCTGCGGAGCCAGAGACGTCAGCCCCTCCCAAGACCTCTGCAGCTACAAAAACGACGTCGGCAGCCACTACCAGAAAGGAGAGCGCGAAACCGACCTCACGTACACCCTCACCTACTGAATCGACAAAGAAGGCCGCCTCAAGTTCAGAGTCATCCGTTTTCGCGACATCGATGACCTCGCCTTCAGCTTTTATTCCTGCATCCTCGGCATCCTCGACGTCCTTGTTGACATCTACAGACGTACCTCAACCGACCCCTATTCTTGCGCAACAACCCCAAGCAGCGAATCGCGTAAGCGTAGGAGGGATTGTTGCAGGAGTAATACTTGGTGCTGCAGTACTCATTGGGATGGCATGGATCGCGGTTGCCAAATGGCGAGAGAACAGACGACATCGCGCTCACTTCGGAGACGACGAAGCCAAACACGGCTTGAGCGCCGCAGGAGCAGACGACCACTACTCGTCCAGTCATGATTCCCTTCTAGCTGGAGGGAAGCTGGTGAGAGATTCAGACGGCCTCAGGTTACAATCGCTTTCATCACCAAGAGTGGGAGCGCAAAGCTTCGTCTCTTCATACCACAGCCCCACATCACAAGTACCGCAGGATGTACTACCGACTATCAGTCCTATTGAAGCTAAGAGCCTGCCAGGCCTACCAACCTCTGAGCATCAATTTTCAACTGCGCTTGGCAGCCATCCAATTATTGCCGGGATGCCCTCTCCACGCATTGGCATGCTTCCAGCCGGTCAGCAGGCAGGCGGGTCAGCCGCCAGGAAACCATTACCGCAGATCAATGTTTCAAGTCCGGTGCATGACCAGCGACATCCATCACTGAGCCAGCAGAGTCCAGCGGTAGAACTCCCATGATAATAGTCTGGGGAAGGCTGCAATGCCACTACTTTGTTCTGTATATAGATTAATGATTGACGAAAATTCTTAACTTGCACATCCTATCTGACTCTAAGCTCATCCAATAATGATTTGAAGCTCGTCATGCCTGCATCCCTATCGCTGACCTAGAGGCAGTTTTTGACAGCACTTGGAATTCCGAGGGCATTGTGGACATCGGCTCTTGTGGTTTTGATTGAAACGAAGCATATAGAGTGGCAGAGGGTATGAGCTGGTGATGGAATTGCCACGACTCAGCTGTCTGAGCAGCAGCTTGTGTCCTTTCGTAACATTGGATTGGCATTGCCCGGAAGGAGTTGTGCAGCCGGAATTCATGGTCTGCTAGGATGAAAGGTGCTTGATTTTGCCCGTAGGAGGAAACCTCGGTATTACTGAAACTGCCAGGTATGAACAGCATTACAGTAGAAGCAGACCATCTTTCCACGAAAGCTCCAATCCATGTCCGAAGGTCGTGCCCCGCCCGTTGTCCTCTCCAACAGCTACCGGCTGTTATTCGGCAAGCAGCTCTACCCGATCACAGCGCGTGAAAGTTTCCCGATGAAATTATATGATGGACCAAAAATTTGGTCAACATCACGATTATTCTGCACGAGCCTCCACCATGGCTTGACTCGGTCCGAACACCTGAGCGACATTCAAGTACAGTCATGGACATTCATCGGTGCCGATTTGTACCATATCCCTCTCAAGCAATCAATGCGCTCGCCTTTTCCCAACCCTCAGATACACAGAGACGATGCCCACCGGACCAGAGACTGGCAATTGGTCGAGCTAATGGAGACATTGAGATCTGGAATCCTGCGCAAGGACTATGGTCACAAGAAACAATATTTCGTGGCGGCAAGGATAGAAGTATTGAGGGTCTAGCATGGACACAAGACTTGCAGGACACAGCCACCGAAGATGACGAAGTTAAAGAAGCTGGGAGATTGAGACTGTTTAGCATTGGATTGTCTTCGGCTGTGACGGAGTGGGATATGGCCCGTGGGATCCCCCTTCGACATGCAAATGGCAATTTTGGTGCTATCTGGTGCCTTGCTGCTCAACCACGATGGACATCAACCGGCGGCGATGGTGAACAGCATGATCCAAATCGTATAAGCCGACACGATCAATACCTTGCTGCAGGTTGCGAAGATGGTACAATTGTCCTTTTCTCTACTGAAGACGGAGATTTACACTATCTGAGAACGATTGCCAAACCTCCGACCAAGAAACCGAGGATATTAAGTGTTACCTGGAAGGACCGAAACACCATCATAGCTGGCTGTTCCGACAGTAACATCCGTGTTTATGACATTCGCACCCGGCAGACTCTCAGGACTATGACCCTGGGCAAGTCCGCGATAGGTGGAAATGAGACTCTTGTTTGGGCAGTCAAGTGTCTTCCGAACGGCACCATATTATCTGGCGATTCTGCTGGAGATCTCAAGATCTGGGATAGCAATAACTATTCCCTTGTACAGAGGCTCCACTGTCATGAAGCGGATATTTTAGATATCACCGCCAATGCCAACGGCAGTACAATCATAACTGGTGGAGCTGATCGTCGAACAGTTGCATACAAGAGCATGCCTGGGGACAAGGGCGATACGACTCGTCGATGGACACAGGTAATGCATCGAAGATTCCACAAACATGATGTCAAAGCTCTCGCGTCCTTCGAAAGTCAGGATCTGAGTATAGTCGTTTCAGGTGGGCTTGACACCGCGCCGATAGTAATGCCACTTCGTGGATGGCAGAAAGAATACCATCGAACGCTATCACATCTACCCCAGTCCCCTCAACTTTCGTCTGCGCCCCAAGCGCGACTATTTATCGGGTGGTGGGAACGTCAAATCAGTATCTGGCACCTATGGCGGCATGCTGAACCATCCGAGGCACCAGAATCGCTCAGTAGCTCTCATACAAGTCACAAGCTTCTGAGCCAGCTATTTCTGAAGGGGGAGGAGAACATCACCTCGGCTCAAATATCCAACGATGGCAGATACATTGCTGTGGCCACCGTTTCAAACGTCAAAATATTCCGATTGCGGTCGCAAAGAAGCTCATCAGACGGGCGAGTCAACATCCGTACCAAGAAAATAGAGACTCTTCCTTCTATTGGACGATTTGGTGCACGACTGCTTGCCTTCTCGCCTGATACTCGCTGGCTTTGCTCAATTCGTCTGAACAACGAAATAACCCTAGTGCGGATTGAGGATTCCTCAGATAGCGAAGCACCTCCTCATTTTAGCAAGCACGCGGCCAAGCTCAACCGAATTAAATCGAAGACATCCAGGGATACCAAAACCGCTGGTTTGGACGGATACCTGGACACCATTACCACCACATCCTTCTCCGCCGACAGCCGCCTACTTGCGGTCGGAGATCTATCAGGACGTATAGCCACTTGGGTACTGGAGGGCCTAGGAGCAAGCAGCAACGGTTTCGTCAATGGCATTCACAACGACCGTGGGTCTGGATCTCCTCAGTCGGCTAGCTCTCTATCATCAGGCGAAAGTTCTTCTGACGAAGAGGATGATTCCCAGAGTATACACGGTCAACGATGGCGCAAGAATCCTGCAGGTGCATATTTACCGAATCTGGATGCATCAATTCTCGTCCTCGCCTTTCGCCCCAGCACACATGAAAACCCAACGAATACAGGTAGAACTGAGATCGGGCTACATCCTACAAGACACACACCACACCCACGTGCACACGACCTACCCACTGGGGAAGACAGGCTCATAGCCATGACAGCAGAGCACAAGTTTGTAGAATATCGGGTCCTCCAAGGAATGCTCTCAGAGTGGTCTCGACGGAACCCAGCTTCATATCTGCCTCAGCAATTTAAGCGAATCAAAGAACGAGCAATGGGTTGTTTTTGGGATGCCTCGTCCCTTCACCACCGTTTGTGGCTCTATGGCTCGACGTGGATGTTCATGCTTGACTTGGCACAAGATCTTCCGTTAGAAGAACCAAGCGGAGCAGTGGGTATGGACGATGTTCAACAGCCACAGCAAAGTTCAAAGCAAAACAAGAAAAGAAAACGGGAAGAATTCGAAGCCGAGAAATTGCGGCAGCGAGGAAGCGGGGCGGGCGGTATTGTCCCATTGTCCGAGTCATATGTTGGTGTTAGCAATTGTTCACGAAGGTTCAAAAGCTTAACGCAGGAGGATTCTCAAATGATACAGCTCGATGAGACGCGCTCTGCTGCCAGCGAGGAAGACGAAGGGAGTGGGCTGGGATTAATGGCCTTGACACAACTTCGAAGGAGAACCGAGCAGCCTTTGGTGAATGGCCACACGGAACATCAGGTAAATGGCGTGCCGAGCCTTTTGCGGGAGACTTCGCACACCAATGCACCCCAAAGCAAACATGGCGACAAACCAGCTTCATTTATAACACTGAGGTACCGCTCGATTCTGGGCATAGTATCCATTGGTGGGGCCGGTGACGGAAATAGACCAATGGACACCAAGAATCATGGTGATGAATTAGATCCAGAAAGCGGCTTCGAAGTCGCTATCATCGAACGACCCCTATGGGACGTAGACCTCCCGCCAAGATTTGACGGGGATCAAGACTGGGAAACGTGATTGACCCCGTCCAGCTGGCTGATTTCTTTTCCCAAGCAGCTGCCAACATCGTACTTTCAACAGTGATTGTCGTGGTTGAGTATGCCAGCATACAGCCACCCGTGCAGCAACACTTCTATTACGAAACATGTTGTCAAAGCCGAAAGGGCGATGTTGTACTAGATGACAAGGCTTCGCAAGAATGTCATATGATCAAACCAGATGGACTGCCTTCATGGTAGAATACATCATCAATCAAAAGGCACATGACTCCGTATTACTTGCTCGCACACCAATGTGAACCACCCACAAACTCAACTCAGGCGCAGCCGGCTTGAGGAAAGGTATTGCTCATCGACGCGCCAAGATGACGACAATATGCTTCGGACGGTTCCGACATCTGGAAGGTCAAGCTTCCGGTCAAGCTCTGCTTCGTTGACTCATCAAGACTTCTTGCCTCCCAGTTACGCAACGGACGCACAATTGGTCCAGCATCTAATTTCCGGAAGAGGTTAGGTGCCAAGATCTGCCACGCGTCTCGGCGATGGCGATAAAAGATCTCATCGCAGAGCCGCTAGGTGAAACATTCTCAGCCCAGCAAAGTTGAAATGTGGGGATGTGAAAAGCATGTACAAGTCGATCTGGGGAAACAAAAAGAAGCTAGAGAAGAGCGACGGGTGAAAGAGTTTGAATAGGAGGCATGCGAGAAGGACTGCCCAGCTGCGCATCAGACTTTTCACGCATATTAGTGACACGGACTATCACGTCAAAAAATGTCCAAGCATAAGTCGTAGGAGAGTTATTAGTCAACCGCATCCATCTCTCGCGGCAGTAGGACAGTGTCAAAGAAACGCAATCCAACTCCTTGGCTTGTCCGATCTGATTAGGCGTTCAGTACACGGTCGACTTCTAAGCAGTAACGAGGACTTGGGCCAGAAGGATGCCGCGCAAGTACACTTGTATCCAGTTATAGAGCAGTCTAGACGTATGCAGTCTGCCGCGTAACAGTTGAGACTGTTAGTCATTGTAAGAAGGTAGCAGTCGAGGCAATTCTGGATGTCCTTGATCCCGAGTGAGCCATGGGCAATCAAGCATAGCATTGATGATACAGTCAGACCATGTAATCATGAAAGACGACGTGTTCCCTCAACAGGGCGAACGGCGAGGAACGATTGCTTTACATATTGAAGTTAGGGGTTTTCCATGAGGCAAAGAGCTGGCTGGCTACGTTAGGTTGAACGATGATTGGCGGTGATGGGGAGCTGACGACGCCGGAAAGTTTGGTCGGGGCCAGAAAGTTTGAAATGTCACGGGAGAGAGACCGAGGGACTCAGGAAGGGACTCGTCACCCTCTCACCAATTCCCAATCTCCACTCCAAACACGCATGCAATGCTAATCCTTCTATCCACCTGTCGTACACCTTCTAGCCTCCTATCCTGCACATTAATTCTCCTTCCATCCTCATCATCGACAACTTGATTTCTCTCGCTGTCTACCTTGTGACTGTGTTGCAGGTTCGCCTCAGGTTGGCGCTTATCCTCGCCAAGCATCGTTCTAATCGTGGCAAAGCACTCGGCTGTGCCAGAACTGCGGCCATTTCACCCACTGCATGCGTTCCTGTCCAAGTCACCACTCCAGTGACGCCGTATCTGGGGCAGCGAGAGAGTTTCCTATTCTTCTGACTCTGGCTTCTGCATTACCTCGTTGAAACAGATAGATTTGTACTCGGAAACAGTTCGACAATGGCGGGACGGCCAGGTGCGCAAGCAGGGATGCCGCGGGACGACTTGGACGCCTCGGGACTCTCAAGACAATTTGATCAATTACTTCGGACGAGGAGACTGAATGAGCTGGAAGAACGCGTGAGGTCACCAAGATCGCAGTCTCCGCATCACCCACGTTCAGCTTCATCGAACCTATCACCACGTCCATCGCTAAATCTGCCTCCTGCATATACTCAGTTTAGAAGCCTTCCTATTGCGCCATCGCCTCCGCAAGATGCTGCCTCGCTAAAGTTTCGCAACCTCCTCATCACCCTCTCGTACACTCCGATCAAATATGAAAATCCCGGTTTACTCGACGAGGCGTTGACGTACATCCCCACCCAAAGGATATATGAGGAAGCAGACGAGGAGCATAATATCATGCTAGCCTCAGCAGCCTCTATGGGTGACGACGTCAAGCCAGAATGGGGTTATCAGGATTGTGTCATCAAAGCCTTGCTCAGATGGTTCCGTCGATCCTTTTTTACCTTCGTCAACAACCCTCTCTGCCCAATCTGTGGCAGCCCAACTGATGCTCAGGGCATGACACCGCCTACTCCGGACGAAGCTGCCCGTGGTGCCAACAAGGTAGAGCTCTACAGGTGCAGCACTGCAACCTGCAATGCTTATGAACGGTTCCCCCGATATTCAGATGTTTGGCCATTGCTAGAGACACGGCGAGGTAGGTGTGGGGAATGGGCCAATTGCTTTAGTATGCTATGCCGTGCTGCTGGTGCAAGGGTACGATGGGTGTGGAACTCTGAAGACGCGGTATGGACTGAGGTCTATTCGGAGCATCAGAGGCGTTGGATCCACGTCGATGCTTGTGAAGAAGCGTGGGACAATCCGAGGCTTTATGCTGAAGGTGAGCATTCCCGTCTCCTAACGAATCAACTTAAACTAAGTGTGATTCAGGCTGGAGGAAAAAGCTTGCCTACTGCATTGCCTTCTCCATTGATGGTGCCACCGATGTAACCCGTCGATACGTGCGCAACCCTGCCGAACAGGGCCTGGGGCGTACTCGCTGCCCGGAAGAAGTACTTTTGTGGATTACGCAGGAGATCAAGAAGATGAGACGGGAGAATATGGATAAGCCCGATCGCTCACGGCTGATGAAAGAGGACGCTCGAGAAGAGAAGGAGCTGCGAAGTTATGTTGCTCAAGCCTTGACTGCACAGATGGTTAGTACCATGCCTGGCGCCATACAGGGTTCGTCGAATTACGTATCGTCACTACCTGCAGACGACGTCAAAACACCTGTTGGTAGACAGGATGGTTCATCAGAGTGGATCAATGCACAAGGAGATAACGGCACAAATATTCCGGATCCGAACCAGAGGCACGAAAGAAGATGATGCTGAGCATGAGTCTGATAGTTTTTCTGAGTGATCAGGACTTCTACCTCAGTCTACGTTCGCTGTCTTCGAAAGTGGGCCGCCATAACAACTTGAGTTCTGACACGTCTACTGGGGCAGGCAGCGTAAAGACAGGCAGCACTTCCTGCCAAGTGAATGCTCTACTTCATTCGCCCAGAAGTGTCATTATGCATCTGACGTGAGTTTATCAACCTGCACGCTGGACATGGAAAGATACTCTTCTGGCCTTCTGAAAATGGAACCACGGGCCCAACTCATCACACACTATTTCCGTCACTACCAATGCTCACTATCATCATCACCTTCATTACACGATACCCCAATGTCAGCCTTCCGTCCTTTACATGCCTTTATCAAGCATCAGCATCAGTCACGGCACCAGACCATGGCGTTCTTTACTTCCTTGCCTTAAAACCATCTCACATGAGTAGCAATGCACAGCATAATTGCTAATTTTGGGAAAATTCCATGGAGTCAACAATTCTTCCAGTGCTGTTCGTCATCTTCATGCAGGCGCACGGGTGCCGCTTTGTATCAAAATGGTCTGGAAACCAGTCCCACTATCTTCTGTTTTTCTGCTTTTCTTGTCTGTTGGTTTTCTGGGTTCTGGGAGTCGGGTGGTGGAAATGGATGCGTACACTTTGTGGCGCATTATCAGCTTGAAGAAATGGATGAAGGAGGGGACAGACTTTTTGACCGAGCGGCCAGGAGGGGGGTTATAGAGTCTGAATGCCCGTACGGATTGAGCTACTTTGCTCTCATGTTTCATGAAAGGGGATGAGATGGGATGGGATGGGATGGGATGGGAATGGAGCTGGAAGAGTAGGAGGCAGACGGAATGAAAGAATCATCAGGATAGCTTAGAGAAGGACGAAAAAATTCAATGGAGATATTTTGTATACGCTATTTCCTTGAAAATTCTTCGCCCGATTCTTTTCGTACCTATTTTCTCTCACTTTCCTCCCCCCCCTCTCTTCTCCCTCCTTGTCGTTCCTCTGCTACCGTATAAAGTCTTTTCAGCGACTATCCCATCCGAGACCGAAACCGAGACCGAGACCACAATCGGCTCTGCGTAGTTCTGCAAACCAGGGAAGTTTTACAACACAATCTCGCCGAGCTGGGTTCTTCAGTTCGGAAAAGGGAAAATGAGGGAGAAGAAAAAAAAATAAGAGGAGGGAGGGAGGAGGTAGATTTTCCTGATTCCTGCTTCCTGTCTCCCTGTCTCCTGTTTCCTTCCCAGCTGGGGTTCAAGCTACAGTGCTACTCTGAATCATCGAAGATTGTGTGCACGCGTCAGTCAGTCAGTCAGTCGTACGTATGCTCCACACCACATGACAGTTTTGATCCATGGCCGGTGGCACCCCGTACACGCACACGCACGCTTCCTGCTTCTCCGCCACGTGATGGTGGGGGGGGCCGGTTGCTATCTTGGGGATTTTTCGCGTACAAAGGGGAAAATAAATTTAAATAATAATTTGCGCATCGGGTTTTGACAAATACGCCTGGGGCTTTGGCGAAGCGCAGGCGAGGGTGGTGTGGGAGGGGTGGAGGGCACGTTTCTCCGTAGTAATGGGATGTGGCGAGGCAGGCTGGAGATTTCCATCGATGGATGGATGGGTGGATGAATTGGTCCACGACTCGCTGGCGGCACCATCCTGCCAGGAAACCCTTTGCTTTCTACAGAACCGGGTAGCATGCAAGCAAGAAAGGAAAGGAAAAAGAAGGGGGAAAAGTCGATTGGGGTTATTTGCAACCATTTCATTTCCATCCCATCTCGGCTCCGCTCATCTCCGAGATCTCGGGAGCTAATTTCCCTTTCCGTTGGATAAGTATTAATCAAACCCCCAACCGTCTCGCTGGTCTACTGTGTGCAAAATGCGTCTTCGCCCTTCTGAGCGACGAGGTCTGCCTTATCGCCTCTTGTCTTCTGCAGATTCAACGCGCAGACTTCTACCGCCCGGTTCTGTTTCACCTTCTCTTCTTTTCAAGATCTGACACAACGGGAACTCAAGCTGCGGGCAGAATAAGTGTGCGTGTCACTGGCGAAGAAAGTATCGAAAAGGGCTCTTATGATCCCTCAAGTTTAGGGCCTTGCCTGTATCTATATCTCTTTCGCATCGTAGGAAGCGCTGGACGCTCTCCATAGCCACCGCCCGCATCGTCGGCTTCAATCACGGATGTAGATACAGCGCCATTGATTCGCAGGGCATAGGGTCCTACTGACACCGCTTTTAGTGGGTGTGATGGCATCGGGCGATTTCTTGTTCGCTGCACCACGCTCCCCTTCCCTTCTATCACCGTTGATAGCAGATCGGACCCAATCTGACTGGTCTCGTTGGCCATCTAGCTGGCGCCTGCATTGAATAAGAGGTCCTGATTCAAGATTGGATAAAATCAAGCATTCCTCCATCGATTCACCCAGCTCGATATCCTCCCCGTCCTGTTCGTGTACCCATTCACTCCATCCTCATAACCATTAGCTCGATACGCATTTGGCGTATTCGTCCCCTGTCTTGTTTCATGATAAGGCGTTGACACCGGATACGGCGGATTCGGCACCGGCCCCGCAGAGTCATGCGTGAGATCTTCTTCATACTCATCGGGCCCCGCACCATGCACGCTCACTCCCCTGTCACTGCCACTTTGCCGCCGCGATTGCTTGCTCATTGGCAATTCTTCCTCAGATCCCGGACAGACACGATGTTTAGTCCTGACGCTGGGTAAGAGGTCAAAGAAGAAGCTGATGATATATCCTGTAAAGAGGAGCGCGATGATCCACTCCAGTATCGCACCGACATCTCTGTTACCCCTGAAGGTCATCACCCCAAACACGATCGCAAGCGCAACTTCAACTAAAATAAAGGCCAGTTTTACCCAGAAGGATGTCCGCAGGATGCGGTGATTGCGGTAGTGGATCCCCAGCCTTTGGTACTCGGCACAGACGAAGATAGCGGAGAGAATGAAGCCGGCGATGAACAGGAGGAGGAAGTAGTTATGCAATCGTCGATGGCGGTAGGTGTCGAATATTGCTAGGAGGACTAGCCCGGCGGATCCGGCAAGGGCGAACAGGATACTGATAATGCTGAGAATTACCTGGGCTAGGCTGGTGTTTCGCGCCAAGCGTCCTGTGTGTCGCAGGTAGCGCTCAGCGAAGAAGGAGAGGTCGAGGAAGACGGTCGTTATTACGCTGCCGGTGATGAAGAGCGGTTTTAGGCCGTAGGCACCGACGTCGGAGATGTAGGCGATGTCTTGGCTGGCTTCCATGGAGGGATACTGGGGTTGAGAGATGACGAACCAGTGGATGAACATGGCGAGGAGCATGCCTGACATAAGAGAGTTAACAGAAATGTTTCTTGCGGATGTGATGGTGAGGGCATGAGGATATCTTACCTAGCCACATTGCCGCCGATATGACGGGGAGGATCCAGTAAGAGAGGAGCCACATTTTGGCGGTGTTTGGAGGAGATATTACCGATGATCTGATATTCTTATAGGTAGAGTATCAGAGAATAATAAGTGTATGAATGGTAAGAAGGTGTCTGAAGATGTCTTGCTTGGAGTGATGGAATGTTCTCGGAATGGGGTCACAAAATCAACGCTATGCCAGGTAAATGAATTGGGAGTATTTATATGCGCCTTAACACCAACACTGGAACTCGTCAGTCATCAAAGAACAAGGGTGTCTGAAAGCCGCAAGTCTATCCATCGGGGAGCAGTACGGGTTATATACAACAGGAAGGAATTTGGTAGAGGGCGACAGAATGCGCCAACAATGACAATTGAGACAGACTATAAACAGTCGACACAGCCGGGCCGGCCGCGCAAGGTGCCGCGCCCGGTATGACGACGTTCCAAGCAAGCTGGCAGGGATCATTGGACGGTAAAGTCGGCTGCCACCATGGCGGTTGCCCCATTCGGCATGGACGCTGGAACTAGATCGGTGAATCTTCCTTAACCCCGTGCTTATGGAGCTTGGGTTACATTTTCGTCAAAATTACTGCTAGATAAGCATTGCTTAGCATGTTTGAAGATGATCAATACAGCATTTATAAGACTTGCTATCATACTTTGTAATTCTTGATTTCTAAAATAATAGAAGAGTGAAGGGATCAGACGAAATGGGCTCAACTCCTATTAGCGCTCTGCTGGTTTGGTCGTTTTGCTCCTCCTTCTGTACAGAATAAAGAGCCTTAATAAGCTCCATGTACGGAGTATGTTTGGCATTTATTAATTTTCATGCCGCCAAGATGCGATTCCAAGTTGTACAGGCACGGAGTTCTGAGGCGCAAACACCGATGTGTATTTCCACCTGGAGATAAAGTCTGTCAATCCGACCAAGAGCGCTTTGTCAGCCAGCTGAGGGCGCCAAGGGGATGCCTTGCTTCAGTTCTCAGCCGTGCTAGTACTACGTACGTAGTATGTGGCTTTGACGATGACTAATTCAATGTGCGTCAGCACGTCTAAGGTCAAGATACAAAATTACAGCCCGAATATCATTCCGCCCCACAAGATAAGCGAGCTATACCGATTTAGGTCAAAATTACGTGTATTATCTAGTATAGAGTTCGATGTAAAAATCAGCGGAACTCGCAGCTATTTCACACAGAATCCTGCACAGAATCCTGCACAGAATCCTGCGCAGAATCCTGCGCAGAATCCACAGCTATTTCAATGCAGAATTCGCAGCTATTTCGACGCAGAATCCTACGCAGAATCCGCAGCTGTTTCGCACAGAATCCACAGCTATTTCGACGCAGAATCCGCAGCTATTTCTGTCGGGAGAGCTATGGTTGGGCTTAACATACAAGACAAAGCGTGAAGAAAGAGAAACGAAAGTGGGAACACAACGCTCTATATACATGTCCATGCCCCTTATCCCGCTGAGGCCAGGTACGGGCAACTGTGGGTACCTGTCGCCAGTGATGGCTAGAATAGCGGCGGGGAGCTTGGTCCGAGATGAGCTCTGTGAGCCATGGTCAGTGCCACAGGGAATACGGTCCTTGGCGTAGGTCGCGGGAGGATTCGTAACAATTTCGATATAAAACACAATACAAAATTTCATCAAGAATACACCAAGCTATTGGGACATAGCAAAGTAGTCTAATCAGTTGTCGGAAATCCAGTAACAGAAGAAGAACCACTGACTATGTATCCCGAGAGCCGCTGATAACTTGTTATTGACGTTAGAGACCCTACTGGATTTTTGTTAAATTGGATTTTCTTAATTGAGGGTACGAAGATATTCATAATGTGATTAGAAATTTAGAATTATAGAGATCTGTTATGATAGATAGATAGAGCGTTATCAGAAGTCATAACAGAGTATCTTAGTTGATGAAAATCAATGATGTTATCAATGTAATAGATGAAAATGCTAATAAAGTTAATGACTATCAGCTCAAAATATGGATTCTGCTTAGTCAATGAGTAGCCTATTTCGAGCATGGCGTGTGTGGCCCAGCCCACTAAGCCCGTCTGGGGGAGCCAGGCAAGGAATGCCGTTTATCGTTTATTCACAACATGATTCCTGCAAGAAACGTCCGAGCAGTGAAGGTGAGGGTAAGAAGATGAGCTTCTATCCTACATTTACCCGTCTCGATGGGCGATGACGGTAAGCAGCGCGAGATGGTAGATAGAGTTGTTCTGAATACTTGATCCAAGCTTCTTGGGACGGAGCAATATTGAAACATCATTGATTAGATCCAAGGTACACTCTGAAAACTACCCTCAATATGTTGCTCAAGAGAATGTCCATTCCTCGCAGAGTTCTCCAACGACTTGTCCCCTTCAGCAATTGTATACGATCCTAAATCCAATCGGGGTCAGGCCTATCTTGCCACCAAGAGTGTTGAAGAAGTTGACATCCCCGCTACCCTGTTGCCAATCACTCAGCTCGAATTGAAAGCTCAGCTGCTGCTGACACGTCCCACTCCACAGGAACGTCCTGTAAGGTGCATCCGTGGGCGAGTTGGTTGGGAAGATCGTTGTGCTGACGAACTGATTCTTGACGGGTGGTTTGTTCCAGCTGTACTCGTAGATGAAATTCACGTCGTACGGATTGCTACGTTGGGGGTTGGTAATGAGCCAGACATCAGCTTGTGTGCCGGTGCCGCTGGCAATGGGACCAGGGTTATTTCTTGTGGGAAGCTTGGGAATATCGATCTGCAACATGCAGCCAGTGGCACCAGGAGGGATGTATGCGAACGATACGACCGATTTGATGGTGTTAGAGTTGGCTCCTCCATCGCGATGAAGTGCAAAGGTCAGTCCGTTGAGGTATGCATCGGGTGCCGTTTTGTTGAGGTTGCTGATGTTGGCAGGACCAAGCGTGGAACATGCTCGGGGTGCGAGCTCTGCTGGTGTGGGAACCGCAGAGGCACAAGTGAGAATGCAAACTAAGAGAAGGACATAGTGATGCAGGGAGAAAGACATGATGAAGTCCTGACTCAAAAGTACGATGACAAGGCAGATAAGTGTAACGGTGATCACAGTAAACGAGAGTATTTGCTGGGTGCAGACAAATCGCAGAAGCAGAGGTGGGCAAGGAGATACATAAGTAGACAACTGGGTACGCTTCTCGGGACAAGCTGCTACATGGGCAGCGGTCCCTCCAGACATGAATAGCTCAAGCAGAACCAGCTGCATAGCGTTAGGACATGGAGACTGACACAATGCTTCGTACAGGAAGGTCTAGAATGGAATCTCCCAATGAGAAGTATTGCTAGCCGAGTAAAGACTATAAATGTCTTCGTGGGGTAGAATGAACACGAGATATAAATTAATAGCAAGACCTTCAGCGAATCGGAGACAGTCATGGAGAAGGATACCTTGATTTGTCGCCAGCTATCTCTGCATTGGAGGTTGGTCGTTCACACTTTTTACGAGGTTTAGATTGTTGTGAAAGAGGAGCGACGGGTGATGGCGCGAGGAGCTAGAACGGTTTCGTTGGTGGCGCTGGAAAGCTTTCCACGAGTTGCTATTTATGGTCAGGCCAGGCCCGGTCACTTGATGTTACTACGTCTTACACAGACATTGAGGTAGCGAGAGCGAACACGATCTTCAGCTCCGCCAATGCCATTGGATAGTTGACTAAAGGAAGGAAGAGTGGACGAAGAATATCCTACGGACGGAAGCGAAATCTGTGGTCTGCTGTCCAATGTCAGTCCAACCAGAGACCTACGATGTCGTGAATCGCAGAGGCATGATACAAGAGGTGTGATACATAGAGTACTTCTAGAAAATGGATGACGTATTAAGCCGTTTCTCATGAGCAAATACATAGCGCCATGTAACGGGGAAAGACAAGGCCAAAATGAGAACAGGGTATCGCCAACACATACATGCATAGATTCACAAATCAGTCGGGTGTGACCTTGCTCCCTTCTTCCGATGGTTGTTCATCCGAGCCAAACCCACCCGACGGCTTAGGGTCGACCCGCTCATCCCAGATCATAATGCTGTGTACACTTTCGCCTCGACGGATTTCGACGGGACTAAAGGCCTCAACCTCTTCGGCCTCTTGCTCGTCTTCTTCCTCTTCCTCCTCGATCACCACGCTGCGTCTTTTCCGGCTACGGCTTCTACCGCTTGTGCTCCGTCTGACACCCAGATGTCTGTCCGGACGACTGTCCTCTCGCCCACGAAGACCTGGCGTGCCTGACCCGCCAGGCACGCTATGCGCAAACAAGCTGGTATTTAGCATAGGACCCTTGAAGGCCGACTTCTTCCGTCGAGCGAAAACAAGACCACTAGAGCCAGAAAAACCGTGGTCTCCGCTGCCAGCAACCGGAGTGGCTTCATTATACACGCTTCCCTCGCTGTTGCCAAGCGAAGGACGTCCCGGTCGAACGTTTGATGGAAGCTTTGTGCTTGCACTGGGTGTTGCAGGAAGCACTTTGATGGAAGTATGAGGAGATCTAGCGGACTTGCCGGTAGGAGTATGCACCGTGTCAATGCTGTTTGAGGAGACCGAAGACGCTTTACTTTGAGTGTGGTGGTGATGAATACTGCGGATGGAGGAGACTGAAGAAGAGGTCGATTTACGCCCTCGAAGTCCAGGATGACTTCGTCGGAAGGACGAGTGAGATGTCAACGGGGAGGGTGACAGTGAGTCTCGGTGGCGACTGTTCCGAGTATCTATTCTGGGTTGTAGTACAAGTGAAGAGGGGCGAGAGTTTGACGTGTGATTTAGGTACCGCGCTGACTTGGGAGTGACAGGTTTTCCGGTCGAAGAGTGAGTACGATCCGTGGCTTGGGACACATTGCGCTGGTGTGCCCCAGAGGCCCTCAGAATATTTGGTTGTTTTGAGCTAGCCTCTTTTTCCTTCAGTGACGCACCCTTATGATTAGAAGTGCTAGACGAGGATTTGGCTGGCGACCGCGCTCGCTTCGCAGACTCGACCAGCCAATGCTTGAGAGAAGCTAGCTGATTCAACAAAGAATGCTGATGACGACGAGAGGGGCGTTGCTTTTGAATCCCATTGGTGACAGCGAGGGATTCTGAGGCTGGCGCATTCAGCCGCAGATCACTCGATCTTCGGCGGTGCTCTTTAGGTGGTGGTGGTGGACGCGAGGAACTGGCTGATCGTGTGCCATCTTTCTCGATGGGTATGGGGGGCATTTCGGATTTGGGGCTTTCGACGGCAGAGCCTTCAGGTAGATCAGGCAGATCGGAAATGAGTATGTGCGGTGTACTTCTCCGCTCTGTTCGTCCTCGGTTCTGAGTAGCATCCTTTATGGCAGGTGACTGACCTTCCTCGTCAACCTCGACCAAAGTTGGCGCAACTCTGTCCAGTCGAGTGCTGGCGCCACTAAGTCGTCGAATGAGCTTCGCCTCCAACTCTTTCTCCTTGCGCTTACGCTCACGTCTCTTCTCTTTCCGCTCCTCCTTCTCTATCAGCAATGTCCACCAGCCTGCCAATCCATCACACCGTTGGGAGAGGACGTTTTCAATGACCAGTTCAATGTCAACGCCTGCACTGCGCATGCGCTCCAGTGTGGTTTTCTCCAGCGGAGTGCTGAAAGGCGCTGGCTGAGTTAGCTTCAACAGCGCCTGCTGCTGCGGAGCGTGATCTGATAAAAAGGGATCGGCTAGAATATCGGCCAGACTTGGCCGTAACAAGGGTCGTTTCGACAGAAGCTTTCCAATCAGACTTTTGGCGTCGTCAGGCATGTTCGCGGGATATTTGGGTTCCTCTCTAAGGATCTTTTCTTTCGTCGCTTGATCGTTATCTTCGTCAAATGGTAGTTCGCCCGCTAACAATGCAAACAGAATTATTCCCAGACTCCAAACATCGACCTTTTCGCCGGCATACTTCTCCCCTCTCAGCATCTCAGGCGCGCTATAACAGACTGTACCGCAGAAGGTCTGGAGATAATTGCTTTTTCCTTCATACTCCCTAGTAAATCCAAAGTCGCATAATTTCACATTTTCGTTCTTGTCCAAGAGCACGTTTTCAAGCTTCAGGTCGCGATGAACACACGATTTGTTGTGGATATATGCGACGGCGCCCACAAGCTGTGTGAAGATCTTTTGGACTTTATCCAGGGGCAGAGCACCTTGCTTTGTCAGGTAGTTGTATAATTCATCACCTGATCAAATTAGGCACATCAACATGGTCTGTAGTGGTCAGAAGCGGTATGCAACTTACCGGGGCAGTATTCGAGCACCAGCCAGACCAGGTTCTCCGTCACGATGACTTCGTAGAGCCGAGCGATATGAGGGTGTATAAACTGTCTGTGATGGTGGATTTCGCGGGCAAGGTTTGCATCGTCTCTTCTCGCGGATTTAAGAACAACCTGTACGACCAGTCATTCGCGAGCAAGGCGCAAATATCCAAAATACCCACCTTCGAACCGTTGGTGAGATTATGTCTTGCGAGATAAACCTTCCCGAAGGAGCCCTTTCCTATCAATCTCCCCAGTGTGTAGTTGCCAACATGTCTCAAATCTTTCGCAGAGAACTCTCTGTAATCTCTTCAGCATTGTGACTGGCAGGTCCAGACAGGCAAGTTCGTCGTACTCTAGAAGCTCATTGTAGGAGTTTGCAAGCTGATGAGAGGCGTCAGCGGAAGCCAGCTGATTAGAAAAACAACTCGCTGCAGCCGGAAGCGCGTACCTTGTTCTTCTGCTGCTGAAGCTCAGCCTTTGTCCTCGTGGGCTGCATGCCGCAGTCCCGGCGCATCGATTGCCCAGAAATCTTTCATCCGACGCGTTCCGCAGGTATATAAAATTGTGGTATTGAGTCATCTGGTGAGTCTCTATCTTTTCGCCCGGTAGTCTTCTGGGCAGTGAATAAAATCAGCGTCATCTTTCTCTGAGGGCTAGGGGAACAGACCAAAAGGATGTACAGGCGTTCCAAGCACATGGCTGCCCAACTAATTTAACAAATTAATTCGGTGGTCGGTCGGCTGGGCTTCCGACGCAGTACTAAAGCTTAAAGCTTAAAATGGGCCGAGAGCGCATCTTCCTTAGTTAGAATTCTCCCCCTGGCTAAAGGCAAGAAAGTCACAACTTGTTCTTCGACTTGGAACTCATGCAGTACTTCTTTCCATGGGACTACTGTACCCATCTACACCTTAGCTACTCGAAATCTGTCCAATATGTCCTTCACACCAACAATAGCTATCATTGGGGGTGAATAGTATTGTCTCTTTCCGGCATCCTCTCCTGACTCAAATTTGCTAACCGTTTAAGGGGCCCTAGTGGCCTCACTCTCGCAAGCCTTCTGCAACACAATCATATCCCATGCACTGACTTTGAGAGTAATGGCTCCCGAGACATTCGAGGCCAAGGGGGCTCTCTGGACCTGCATGCAGGATCTGGGCTACAAGCTATCGTAGAGGCCGGGTTGTGGGAACAGTTTGCCAAATTCATGCGACCACAAGGCGAATCTTTCACGGTTGCTGATCCTGCGTCTGGTCAAACCCTATAATCCAAGCCAGGGTTGACATCTCATAGCCTAAGAAGCCAGAGACTATGCGGCACGAACTGCGAACGATTCTGTTGGATTCGTTGGAGCAGGGTTCGGTCCGCTGGGATAGCAAGTGCAGCAAGGCCGGACCAGCGGTCGAAGGAAAGGACGATATTCACTGGAAAGTGACGTTGTTGGGCGAGGCTATGATCTTGTTGTTGGCGCGGATGGTGCTTGGTCCAAGGTCCGTCTGCTCCTTACATTACGAGAACCATTCTACTCTGGCGTCAGCTGGATGCAGATTGCGACACCAGCAGATCGAGTACGTTCTGATGTCAACAAGATTGTGCGAACCGGAGCAATGATTGCGTCGCGCGATAAGCAAACCATTTGGGCTGAGCGCCACTACGATGGGAGCATACAAGCCGCCTTATATTTGTGCGCCGCAGAGACTTGGGTTCGTGATGTTGATATGGATTGGTCTCATCAACTGTCTGCGAAGAAGGCAGTTGTGGACAGGTATCTGCAACAGTCAAATGGTTGGGTCGAGCCTTTCAGGCAGATGATCCTTGGTGGAGAGGAGAATCTCATTGCGAAGCCGCTGTATATGTTACCAGTTGGCTTGAGCTGGAAAAGTAGAAATGGGCAAGTCAACGGTCCAGTTTTCTGTTGTGGGCTCGAATTGATATGATTTGTAGAGTAACATTGATAGGCGATGCAGCTCACCTGATGGCACCGTTCGCTGGCGCGGGTGTAAATGTTGCCATGGAGGATGCGCTGATACTTGCTAGATCGAGAGAAACGACGTGGCAACACTTCGATGCTGATGGGTATTGCACGGATTTGAGGAAGTGTAGCAATCACATACAACAACTTACTTGGGATGTATGGGCCGCCTGATAGTCATGATTTCTGAATTTGTCAGTTTCAGCATCTTAGCAGCCATCTCCGCTCCCCAATATCCCTTGATCATTACTGTTGATGGTGTGAACATCGAAGAACATTTGATCAAGCAGTTTCTCTGTAATTGGTGACTAACTTAGTCACAGCAAACTTGAATTAGTACTGCCCATGTGTTAAGGCCAAGTATGCAGCCACAACGGACTTCCCTATTCGACTTGCAGATTATCCGTCCAACCATGGACTGGCCCGTGCAGTTCTGGGAGCATGATCTATGCCTATTATGCAGCATACTACAGAAGCACCTGTCGTGTGGCACACTAAGTAGTTAAATATAAGCCATAGAAGTGGAGATCCGGACTCCGGAGAGTTCGAATTTGTCCGAAAACATGACCGGAAACCTCGGGCCCCCCCAACATAGTCATCACAGCGCTAGGATCTGCCATGGTTGAAGTCTTTTCTGAACCTTCAGAGCGGCAGTCCGCTGTCAAGCTTGCGCTATGTCTATTTGTGGCCGTGAATTGGAAGAGCTCAAAAGCGCCATGGTTGTGTCTTGGTCGGGAGTGATTCACACTACTCCTTTGCATACAGGCAGAGTCCGGGTAAAAGTCCTTGAGCTTTCCTGATCCGGTATCCACTACCCCGGATACTGACTGTTTCGAGGATATGCATATATGGATGGGTCCGTAGAGCCTCCGCAGCTGCAGGCTTGCCGCTGCATCGGCGGATTCTGTCTTGCTATGCAATGAGACTAAATATCTACAATTGCAAAATCCAGAGATCTAGGCCGACAGTCCACATTGTATATCTTCGGCCTTGCACCCCTCTGAGGTAGGAAGCGTTCTTCTTCTTGTCCCAACATCGTTCACTCAAATACAATGTCGACCTTGACGTCGCAGTCAGGCTCGTCGCCTGCCGATTCGAAAGAGCGTATCGCTGTGCAGGAGCTTGGTCGCCCTGATGTTGATCTTGAGCAGATCGGAGAGAAAGAGGGCTATGTTCTCGACGAAGAGCACTTGAGGAAAACCCTCAACATACCCGACTCTGCTATCATCAAGACAGCCGCTGATGGAAAAACGGTCTTGATTCCCCAGCCGTCTGAGGATCCGCAAGATCCGTTGAATTGGCCCGCCTGGAAGAAGACGGTGATCCTATATATCGTCTCCCTAACAGCCTTTACTGGTGATTATGGGAGTGCTATTGGTGGTATTACCTTGCTGCCGCAAGCACAGTACGCAATATCGCTTCTGCCTATCATACCATTTCCTGACATGTCTTCTGATTCGTATTCGCAGGGAATGGCATATGACACCGGATGCTATCAATCACGCTACAGCTGGCAACGTCTTCATGTTGGGAGCCGGAGGCATCGTCGTTGTCTGGTTTTCTGCATATTTTGGACGGCTTCCAGTGCTCATGTTCTTCCAATCGCTGAACCTAGCTACGTCTGTATGGAGTGGCTCAGCCACCAACTTCGAGTCGTTCATGACGGCCAGAATCCTACATGGCTTCTTCGCGACGGTCGCTGCTGCCGGAGGCTTGATGTTCATCAAGGATATGTACTTCTTCCATCAACACCCGTAAGTATACTTCTGTGAAGCTAGGCTTTGCTTTCACTCACATAGCACCAGGCGCAAGATCAACGTATGGGCAACCGCCGTGATACTTTCGCCCTTCCTGGGTCCTTTTATTGCCTGTTGGATCGTTGCCCATACCACGTGGCGATGGGCTTTCTGGTCGCTTTCTATCCTCAATGCTGTGGCCTGGCTACTCATTGTCTTCTGCATGGACGAGACGTTCTATCCTCGAAATCTAGCCCCAGGTCAAGTTCCCGTCCGCAAGTCTCGTATGTTGCGAGTGCTTGGAATTGAGCAGTGGAGAACGAATCTTGTTCCGAACACCTTTCTCCAAGCTGGCATGCGCTCATGGACGGCCATCACCAAACTTCCCGTCCTTCTCAGTTGTATCTACTACTTTATGACATTCGCATGGGTCATCGCGGTCAACATTACCATCGGAGTCTTCGTCATACCGGCATACCACTTCACCTTTGACAACCTGGGTAAGTCCTACCCGATTTGATAGACATGACAAAGTGTTTGCATCTAACATGTCACAGCTCTTCTGTACCTTGCCCCGATCATCGGCACCATCCTTGGGCAGATTGTCGGCCATTGGCTGCATGACTATCTTGGGGACATGTACATGGCTCGCCACAACGGACGAATCACGCCTGAGGCTCGCCTGATTGCCATCTGGCTCTCGACACCATTTTACATTGTTGGTATTGTTATCATGGGTTATGCCCTAGGCCGTCATTGGCATTACATGGTCTTGGCAGTTGGGTGGGGATTGCAAAACTTTGGCATTATCATCATCACCACGGCCATCAACGCATATGCGCTGGATGCTTACCCTGAGGGCAGCGGAGAGGTCGCGGCCTTGTTAAATGCTGCCAGAGCTTTTGGTGGCTTTGTGGCCGGTTATGTCCAGATCGTTTGGGCTCACAGGTCTGGAGAAATCGTGGAATTTGGGTCCCAAGCAGGCATCACCGCTGCTGCGTTCTTCATAGTGGTTGGTCTGCAGTTTTATGGAGAGCGACTGAGGAAGTGGCAAGGCGCAATGAACTTCGCGACGCAGTGAGATAATATTTTGGATAGCTTGGGTCATAAGAACTGTTTACCCTGAGACACGTGCCTCTGAACATAATATCAATACAGATTGAAAAATAGATATCCTTTCCCGGCCACAAAGTGTGACCTCCACAAGCATCTGCTGAGTAGAAAAGGCCGTGAGCAATACTGGTTATTTGTTGACTGAAGTTACTTGTATCATCAGTGACAGTGGCTGAAAAGAGAGCCTATCCGAATTCCACCTAGCTTCAAGCATCTGGCAGCATCTGGCAGCGATTGTGCATTGAAGCCAAGCTCCAACTGCCAAAGTATCGACAGCTTTTAGTGATACAACCGAGCTTCTCTTCTTAATCTTGCCCTTTAGCTCTCCTGCATTCGCCTATGCCCTGTTCACCCGTGCTGCTGCGCTAAACTGCGAGTATGATGTGCGTGCAATCTGCGCGCAGCGCTCGGGTGTGTCCATTCGCTCTGCAAGATACCTCTAAAGCTAACCCCTCACGCATAAAAGTCGTTGCTGCTGCGCGCTGCACGGGTATCCACACACACCTCCTCCAGCTCGCCGCTTGTTAGATGTCAGTCGCATGGAGATATCACTGACCTCTCTATGTTACCTGCTGACAATCGGCTTTCCCAGCATATGCCACCGTTCAGTCTGATATCTTCAAGCCCACGAAATATGGGGGCAAATATACAGTCACGCTCATTCCCGGTAACAGAACTCTCGTCCAGTCTGCACCTTGGCTACAAATCTAACAAAGCATCTTTTCTCTCTAGGTGACGGCATCGGTGCTGAAGTCGCCGAATCCGTCAAAACCATCTTCAAAGCCGACAACGTGCCGATAGAATGGGAACAAGTCGACGTCTCCGGCGTCGACACGGGAGACAAGCACTCTGAGGAACTCTTTCAAGAATCCATCGCGTCGCTGAAACGCAACAAACTCGGCCTCAAAGGCATCCTGCACACCCCCATCGAACGCTCCGGCCACCAATCCTTCAACGTCGCCCTCCGACAAGAACTCGACATCTACGCCTCCATCGTCCTGATCAAGAACATCCCCGGTTACCAAACCCGCCACTCCAACGTCGACCTCTGTATCATCCGCGAGAACACCGAGGGCGAGTACTCGGGACTCGAGCATCAATCCGTGTCTGGGGTGGTCGAATCCCTCAAGATCATCACGCGCGCCAAGAGCGAGCGCATCGCCAAATTCGCCTTCTCCTTCGCCCTTGCCAACAACCGCAAGAAAGTGACGTGTATCCACAAGGCGAACATCATGAAACTGGCCGACGGCCTCTTCCGGAACACCTTCAAGAAAGTGGCCGAGGATTTTCCCACACTCGAGACAAACGACATGATCGTGGATAATGCGTCGATGCAGGCGGTTTCGCGTCCGCAGCAGTTCGACGTCATGGTCATGCCTAACCTGTACGGTGGCATCCTATCCAACATCGGCGCGGCGTTGGTTGGCGGGCCCGGTATCGTTCCCGGGTGCAATATGGGACGCGATGTCGCAGTCTTTGAGCCTGGATGCAGACATGTAGGGCTGGATATCAAGGGGAAAGATCACGCGAATCCGACGGCTATGCTGTTGTCTGGATCGATGTTGTTGCGGCATCTGGGGTTGGATGATCATGCGAATCGGATCAGTAAGGCCGTTTATGATGTTATTGGGGAAGGGTGAGTCTACTTCAAACTCTGGTGAAGTGATCCTTTGACCGGGATCTTGCTGATCCGTATTTTCGTCTTCTAGGAAATCACGAACGAGGGACATGGGCGGTCGAGCTACAACGCATGAATTCACCGCTGCGATTCTGGATAAGATGGAGGCGGCTCTATGATGCATGATCGGTGCTTGGCAAAGGAAAAAAGAGGCACGACATTGGGAACTGGGTAGATGCATGGCTCCTGAGACCCATCGACCTTGCACTGCGCCTCATCCGTGACTTCACCCCAACCGCAACATCAAGCCCTCCCATCATTGGACAAAGTCTGTACAGCCCTGGTCTTATACTTCCCGGCTAATAACCATCATCATTAGCACAGCTAGTACTAAGTAGATAGCAGCCTCTGTATCAAAAACACCCCATTTATTTCCCACCCCCAAAGAAAGAGCCAGCCAATCGAAGTCCCCTCCGCCCGAATCCCGAAGACGGAGCGTTTGAGTAGTTGATTGATTGCTGGCGAATGAGACGCGATCGGCCTAAACCATTCTCCCAGTCCCTGTCCCGCCCCCGGTAGATTGTGCCTTCTTCCCAGCTAACTTAGAGAGGAGCGTCATCGCGTTATGAGTATGGATTCTTGGCCGTGTAGCGGGATCGGGTTGGAG